GGCAAAAGCAGTCATTCAGGCAGTGTGCCTGAGGACTCAGGCAGTTAGTATTAAAGCCCGGTTTTAGGCCTAAAGGGAGGGCTTTGGGTATGTAAGAAAAGTCAGAAAATTTCAACAGCCTCAGACCAATACTTTTTGAGTTATGTAAAAAAAACTACAGGGGGGGGTCAAATTGACCCCCCCCCAGCGGAATAGGGTTAAGAAAATAATTGATAAAATAATTAAACCGAATATGAATGATCTCGTAAAAAAGGTTTAATCAAAAAATTTGAATACTCCGCCGATTTTCCGAAGAGAAGATAGTTCAAATGAATATAATCAAAAAAGATTTCTGAGAAGTATAAGTTAATAATAAGGATTACAAGAAATGAGAAAAAAAACTTTGGCTTTTGAAAATAATATATTTTTATAAATTGAAAATTGACATCTCTGATTCTTTGTTTATCATCAACAGCAGGTCATACTTTCCAGTCACCCAGTGTACACTCCAGTTACCATGCTTTCCAATTTTCTTTCAGAAAATAATAATTAAGGGTTTTCAATGCCACTTAATGCGTAAAGTTATTGGAAATACGCTTACAGTCACAAAAAGGATTTCAAGAAATCTATATAATAAAGCTCTTCACTCAGATATACATATCTATTTAATAAAGCTCTTAGCTCATATATATTATATATGTTAGTTAACCTATAGGTTATAGAATAGGCTCTAGAAAATTCGATTTTTTGTCTTTCAAAAATCAATTTTTTCTTCAAAATTAAAAAAAAAAATTCTATTCCCCGGGCAACTCTGGGCACAATATTCAATATTTGAAGGAAAAAATTCAAAATTCGATTTTTTTATTCCAAGGGCAACGCCGGGTTTTAAAAACTAGTTCAAGATGAAAAATGGAATGGGGGGGGGGGTTAGTATATCAAAACTGCTAACCTGTGAATTATTTTCTTCTGATGACAATACTGGACAGCGGAAACTATTTGTCTGAACTTGGCTCTGGCCTCCTTCTCCTTCATCCTGCCGTGTAGGACGAGGTAGTCGAACACCTCCCCGCCACTGGCGTACTCCATCACGAGGTACAGGGTCTTCTCCGTCTCTATAACCTGCACACAAACAACTGGGATTAAAAGAGAAATATATGAAACTTTTGTTCCTTCGTTTTGTTCCTAATTTCCCCACCTAATTTTTTTCTTAATTTCCCTACCTGATTTTGCTCTTAATTTCCCCACCTACCCCCTTTACCACAATCTGCGTTCTTTATCCCACCCCACAGAATCCACCCCTCCCCCAGAGTAAAATGTGAAAACCTCCTTTTTATTGATTTGACGAGGTTAGAGAAGAACTGATAATATCTAATTAAAAAATACAGTTCCAGGAAATATGTTTAAAAGGAGGATCTATTTAGAAATATTTAGACTGAGTGCAAGAAAAATAGTAAAAAAAATGTTTTCTTTCTTTCGAAAAATACATCATTATTTTTTTTTTAAAAGTCTACCGGCATGATTACAAGTGATATTGAAATGATGACATGTCTGATTTATAACGATTAAAAAAACGTGAGAAGTCTGTGTTGCTTGAGTGAACTCGGACACTGAATCGGAGTGCCTAGTGGGCCATTTTTGGTGACCAGAACTGGCGCTGCGGGATGAACCGAACGCAAGGTTAAAGTGCCCAAATGGAAGCTAATCAGACCCCACGAAAGGTGTTGGTTGTTTAAGGTTTAAAAAAGGTTTATATTTTCTAAATTTCCTTGATTGTCTCTAACAATTTACATGCAGGGTCACTTGGAATTACGTACTTAGTCCCTTTTAAGTCTAATTCTCTAGTAAATAACTGAGGAGTTTAAAATGTATTTGGATGATCTACAGTGATAACCAGAAAACTCTGAAATAGGAAGACGACTTTTAGCATTATGTTACGATTATAAACAGTACAATAAGCAAAGGACACAGTATTTGTACAGTGAAAACAGACCAATTTCACTTTATACGTGATTTAATAAGTGTTTAGTTTTATTTGCTTAGAATCACCATCAAATACACTAAAGTATGGACAGTCTTCCTATTTCAGAGTTTTCTGGTTATCACTGTAGTTTCCGTAAAAAAAATACAACAAAAAAAGAAGAAAAATCTGCGTAATAATGATAAAATATACCTGGAAGAGTTTAACAATATTTGGATGGTCGAGGGTCTTCATAATCCTGACCTCCCTGAACAGCTTCTGTAAACTGCCGGGGTTCAGCTGGGTCTTATCAATGATCTTGATCGCCACCTCCTTACCCGTAGGGATATGCTTCGCAAGCTTGACCTAAAGCAAACAAAATAATTAGTTCGACTCTCGTCTCAAGGTTGTACATTTTTAAAAATATCCCCTGGGGGAAGGGAAAATAAGGTTGAAAGATCTGGAAAAAAATACTAAATTGGACATCAGAAGGCATCCTTAATTGATTTATTTTCCGCAATTTAATCAAAAAGTGTACAAAAAAGTATATGTGAGTTAGGAAAGTAAAACATAAGATCTAGGGGTTTCGTTCCTCTAAAAATGACCCTGTCTAGAAAATTGATGCAGCCACCCTTACCTCTACGTCATAATGTCCTTGAACTCATATTTTTCAAAGACAAAAATATATTTAATTGTCATAAGTTCCTTTTTGAGACATTTTCAAAATTATGTCATTGTTGGATTTTTTTTTTGGTAGGTATTTTTATCACTTCAGTCAAACTTTAGTCAAATATAGTTTTTAACTCTGAAAATGCGGTAAAGAAAAACTTATTATTAATATTAAACTGATCGCTGATTTGATAAGATTAAATATCAAATTTCAGTATACAAAAAGAGATTTTTCGCCTTGACAAACGTTTTTCAATACCAGTCTAAAAATCAGCAAAATTCACAAGATGAATTTGAAGCCTCATTATTACTGTAAAAACTAATTTCTTTTTACACAATGTAACATAAAATCTAGTTAAATTGAGTTTGATTAAAAAAAGACTAGAGATCAAAACTTTAATAAACGATGGAGCTCAGTCTGTTGTTTAACTACAGATACGGATAAGTGTTTTAATAAAAAGATAAACAAAACAAGTTGCAACCTCAGAATTAGTTTTAAAACCTCACCTTGGCGAAGTTTCCCTTCCCAATGGTTTTAAGGAGTCGATATTTTCCAATATGGGGTTCCTCGGCTGACCGCCGGGTAGACACTCGGGAGTTGGCATCTCCACTCTAAAAAAAATTATTAAATGAAACCCATTTGCATGGGATGGGGGTCGGTTGCAACATATAAATGGTAAATCTGATTGTATTTTTGCTAAAATAATTTTTTAAACGATTTTTTATATTTTGTAAGATAATTTTGTTAAAAGATATTCTTTATTTGCTTGAGGAATAAAAACATACTTCAAAACAAACATTTTTTCTAGGCTACGCTATGATACAATAATATGATAAAATATCTATAATATATAAATGAATATAATCTGTAATGTGAGTAGGATATGTACAATGTACACTTGTAGGGAATAAAATGACATGCAACATAAATCCTAATTCCTAATATTCAATCAATTTTATCCTACATTTATCTAATTAGATTTCGTTATATTCTAATAATGTCATGTACAATCTAGAAATTTGACCCGAAACTTAATTCTGATAATTTCCTTTCAGTACAAATGCGAATGTTACTTGATAGAGAAACCGAATTTGAAAATTATCAATTTTCTTAGAGACTATACTATACTTGTTTACATAAAATTTTAAGAATACGTTTCAGTCCCTTGATGAAGTATTTTAAAAAAAACGATATATTCCCCGCAGTATAAAATCTTTTTAATTAGTAATTTTCTTTTTCAAGTTTGCATCCAACTTTCACTTGCTCTCAGCATCATTGTGATCTATTACTGGGAAACATGAGATAGAATTGAAACTAGAAATCCAATGTGATCAGGCCAATTTAGTGATTGCAGAATATTTTACGGGCTTTAAGTTGAAACAAAAACAATCTATAAGTTAAATTTCCAGGGGTGTATATTACCGCAAAAAAAAATTCCCCACCTATCCCTTTTAAATTTTTTTTCCCCCAGTGCAGATTTTATGTTTTTTTTTGCTGAATTATGAAAAAAAATTATTTTTTAATGAATTTTTGGGATAAAGTTAAAAAAGAATGAAAAATCTATATCTATTATTACAGTGATAACCAGAAAAAATGTAGATCAAAAGGCAACTATTTTATTCTTTTTGATACTTTTTACCCAAAAATTAACTTTCCCCTGAAAATATTTATTTTCTTCAATTCAGCGAATAAACCCCAAAACATATATAACTTCTGGTAGTAAGATTAATTTCAAAAGTGGGGGAGGGGGGGAGAAAATGATTTTTGGAGAAAATATACAGTCTACATCCCTGTTGATTCACCAGGGGACGTTTCTTTTTTAATTAGTAATAGATTAAAACTTAAACAAGGCTAAGAAAAGATTAGTCATTCCACTCAATAGTCTATATATTTATATATCCATAGTCCTTCAGGATGAGTCATCCAAACAGTCAAATTAATGCACCTTAAACCATGCATTAGGCATGAACAGCGATTTAAATAATAGCGATTTTTAAATAATATTAGATTAAAACTAAACAAAGCTAAGAAAAGATTGATTCCACTCAAGTCAACAGTGTATATATTTATGTACTATTTATAAATCCATAGTCGTTCAGGATGAGTCATCCAAGTCCATTTCATACTACCTTAAAACATGCATTGAGCATGAATTGCGATTTGCATAAGTTTATTTTCACAATCAAATAAATTAGAAAAAAAATAAACAAAAGCTTAAGAATATTTAACAGATTCCTCGCCTTTATTGCTTAATTGTTAATTTATTTCAAACTTTGACAGAATTCCTGGTTTTCAATAACCAAGGTCTACAACATCGGATGGTAAAGATATAAAAGGATAAGAAAATAAGTAAGTAATTGATACCTTAAAAAGACATTAAAAATCATATTATTATTAACATTAATTAAGGAAAATCCATTAATATGTGATGGTATATTGATATGATATATAGATAATCAGAAAAAATAAACAGGGTGGGTCCAAAAAAATTATTATTGTCATTTTTCTTATTTGTGTGCAATAATATTTTTTTAAATTTATATACTCAAAGGATTGCTTTTTTGAAGGGGGGGGGGTGGCTTTTAAACTTGAAAAGTCTTCTTTTTTATTTTAATTGAGAAAAGTTTGACGAATACATTCAATCTTGGTCCTTATTAAAAAAAATTGCAAAAATTCACTCAACATTGAATATTATCATTTTTTTGTGTAACCCTGTATAAATGTGAATGAAACTGTAAACTCAGGAGTTGTCATGCATAACATGATAATTATCCAGAAATCAATATTAACCAGTGAATGATGGAATGACTAGATTTGTTATGGATGAATGATTAGTCAATGGATGAGGACAGCAATTAAAAAAAATTAAACTTTAATCTAAAAAAGGTGAATTAAAAAAATTTTTAAGTTAATTCATAAGTGATTTATTAAATTTTACTTTTATTAGATGAAGGGATGAAATGAAAAAAACAGTGCGTTGAAATTTCTTTTTAAAAGTTAATATACGACACTAGTCAAATGTAGGTTTTTAAGGTAAATTCAATTGTACAAAAAAAAACAAAAGATGGGAGTTATTCTATGACCAACTGGTAAGAGATTCATGAAGAGAACGAATTATTTGACTACGAGTCAGTGAATTATTTAAAAAGTAAATTATTTGAAGAATTTAGAAAAGAATGAATTTATCACTGAATTAATGAAACTATTTTACTTTGAAGACGAGTGAATAAAATGATTAAAATATAAGTAAAATGTTTGGAAAGTAAAGTAAAAGATAATAATGCACAAACAGTTGAAACCTCTATCTGATCAAAAATAATGTCAAATTTTATGTTAAGTGTTTAATTCTAATGATTTCTTTATGTTTTTCTGCAATAGAAAAGCGCAAGTCACTTTTGAAGAGAAATCAGTTTTTAAAACTGTAAACATAGATTTCTTATTCATTATGCTTATTCAGACAATGCTTTTAAGAGTACCATTATGAATCTCTCCATGGAGTGTCACTTTAAATTACGCTTACAGTCCCTTTAATACGAAAAAAAAATAAACGAAAAAAATAAAAGAAAAAAACAGAGTATTAGAAAAATGAAAATATAATTCTGTTGAAATTTACTTTAAATAGTTAATAAATGGAGAAATTAAATGATATAATAAATTAAATATTTTCAAAATTATTTTTTACAGATACAGTGATAACCAGAAAACTTTGAAATACGAAGACGACCTTTAGATTTCCGTTGTAAAAAATCCAATGAGCATGAGACACGGCAATTGTGCAGTTTAAACAGACCCATTTCACTAAATATTGATTATAAAAGTGTCTAGTAAAACTATTTGTTCTCTGGTTATCACTTTAACAAGGGGAACTATTTAATTATAAAATATAATTGTTTTGTAAGTTAATGTAAATTTAAGGACAGGAAGCAATGTGAAAATTAAGTATAACAAAAACTAAAATACAAAGCAAGGAAAAGAAGTGTATAAATGAAAAGAAAGTAATACAAATGTTTATAAGGAATTGAATGTGAGAAAAAAAACATATGATGCTCAACTATAAATGAAGATTAATATCATGTTGGATATCAAAACCTTTCTTATAAATTCATTTCAATTTGAAGGGAGATAACAAAAATTATGATCTCAGAGCTCATGTGATAAAAGTGAAATTTAGATTATTTAATTGTAATAAAAACCATGACATCAGACAGTGTAGGAACCAGTTTAATTATAAATAACTAGCTTGGGAACCCAGCATTGCCCAGGGAACTTATCGTTACTCCAGCCGTTTACCCGCATTTGGTCGTAAATTAACGATTTTAGCAATTTTAACCCCAAGCCAAGCACATTTCCGTTGTTCTCTTAAGTTCCCAAATCAAAATTTGAGGCAAATCGTTTAAGTGGGTAGCTGCAATTTTAGAAAGTCGGGAACAAGACATTAGTGTTTCAAAAATAATTAAGATAATTTGAAGATGATTATTAAGTTTATGACTTGTTAATTATCAGTTATCATCCCAAAAAGAGGGATGTTAATAAAATTTCGTCAGTGTCGAATAACAAAAGCTAAAAGAATATTTTTTCAAAGAATTGGTCGGAAGTTGGGTTAATTACGGGAAACCAGGGCTTCACAACAAGACATTCTAAATTTACACTCTTTTAAGATCCAAGGTTAGAATTCTGCTTTAGTTTGTCGTGGAAGAAACACAAGAACGCGCTTACCTTTGTTTACACATTAATGTACTGTAATTTATAACAGGAACATTGTTTAAATGTAACACAAAAACTTTTAAATTCGTTTGAAAAACCAAAGATTTGATGTATGTTCCTTTAAATTTTAAGAATTATTTATTATATTATATTTTTAGGATTTTATCTAGGTCGCCAAAATTTCTTAACTTACCAAGTGCTACCGGTGTTTCTAGAACTAAACTAATAATAATAATAATATTAAGAACTTACTCTAGGTTACCAATAGTATCTAGAACTTACTCTAGGTTACCAATGATATCTGGAACTTACTCTGGTTACCAATAGTATCTAGAACTTACTCTAGGTTACCAATGATATCTGGAACTTACTCTGGTTACCAATAGTATCAAGAACTTACTCTAGGTTACCAATAATATCAAGAACTTGATCTTGGTTTCCAAATATAATAACTTACTCTAGGATCCCAAATATAATAACTTAACTCTGAATTACCAATTATAATAACTCACTCTGGGTTTCCATGTAATGTTTAGAACTTACTCTGGGTGGCCAAGGAGACTTGAAAGAAGGTAGGTGGTACCGGGCAGGAGGGGGTGGGTTAGAATGCATTCGGAGAGACATTGGCTCCTTTTGGTCCCTTGAATACGGGCTTGTATATACCCCAGAGGAGGGTCCATACCCATTACTGTAACCCCCAGAACCTTTAGGGTTAAAACCCACAGATCCCTTAGGGTTAAAATCCACTTTAGGACTGGGGAGAACATTTTCCACCCAAAATCCTCGTCCTGTTTCATCCCTGTCCTCTGATCTTCGGTCATAATCCTCATAACCCTTGTCATAACCTAGGGCCAATCCCTCCCCAGATTCATACTGGTCGTATACCATCATTCTCTCGTGTTATTAA